GTAATAAGCAATGATTAAATAGTGTTTTACTATTATCTCTGTTAAAATTATTGGTTTTAGTCTTGAATTATAAATGCCCAAACAAATATGTTTTTTTACCTTTTTATGGCTTTACTTGCGATTTTCTTGAATTTCCTTCGGTGAAATCTTCCCAAATTTTCACAGCATATCGCTTCCTGCGGGATACGAATTTTAAAGACGAAAAAAGTAGGGTTTGTAAAGGTAGGTTTTTCGATTTTTGCAAATTTACGCCTTTTACCGCTGCGAGAAAACTGGTCTTATAGATTTCCCTGAAAAACGAGCTCCGACTAAAACATTAACTACAAATCTGCCTAGTTTTACAGAATTTCACCGAAGGAAACGCGAGAAAATTTACTGTAAGTTTTGCTTGTTGTGCTCATGTTGACGTAATAAAATATCGAAAAACAGTGACGTTTTCCTTCGCGCCCGCAGATTACCATCCGCAGGTTGTATAATTAATGCAAATACCATTGTTGACAAATGTGTTAACTTCTTTTCCAAAATTGGTGTAAAAGCGTATTCAAGATATCAACTGTGTGCATTCGTTTGGCAACATTTTACGGAAGCCCTTTTGAAGGCAGGGTCCACACTACGCCGGACAAATTAGACAACGCAGCTTTAGTTCTACGGTTAGGCCTTCCATCCACGCTACTCCGTCACGAAAACGGAGGTTTCTGAAAACGCTCTTCAAACCGGAGGAATTTGGAAACGCCGGCTTTTCGTTTTCGTGTGGAGGGAAGACATTTTGAAAACGGAGCTTTTCAAAAACGATGGCGTCACGATGATCATGTGATGCCGCTGACCGAGTATTCCTCAACAACAAATCCAAAATGGCCGGTGATTGTTGCGTTTTCAAATCCCTCCGGCGCAGTGTGGGCAGAAAACATTTGATGCGTTTTCAGAGTGAAACCTCCGTTTGATCAAATCCCTTTTGCGTAGATGGGCCCTAAACGTTTTTTAACACCCCAAATCAGAGAACATAATACGCATTTTTCTGGAGAATTCCTTCTTTAAAGGGGAAACAAAAAAAAAAAACACAAAGCTTCAGTTGTCCATTAAAGGGGATGTTTATTCAAGGAGGGTTATTTATCCACCTTGGGGGGCATTTATTTAGGGAAGAACTCGTTTAAAAATACAAAAGCAAGAGAATTGGTAACTGTTGGCATTGTTCGGCAGTTTACTCATCGTACACTCAAGTACAAGTCAAATTTTAGGTACGCATGGATTTAAGCTATTTTACTTTTCTGCTGGTGGCATTTCCCTGTTACTGTGTGCTGCAACAACCTATTACCGAAACATATAGGTGTCCTCCAACTAAATTTACACTACAAATGGCTCGGTATCTTTAACAGTACAGTCAGCTTACTACAACACACAAGGCAATTAAATAAAATTCGCATGCTAAAATGCCCCTTAAGCAATACTATAATGTAATTACATAATTACACAACACTTCTTATTCATTAGATTTGCACCCATTACATGGAAAACAAATTGAAGACCCATACAAACACATGGGTACTTTCACATGTCAGGTTGTACCACCAAAGAGTTACTGTTTGCAAAATTGAGCTAGTGGCAACAAGCAACATACATAAATCTGCGTTCACAATCTGTCCTTAATTTCAGAAAAAAATTTGCCTGTCTCTAAAGATATTTCAGTGAACAGGGAACCCATACTTGTCATAGTGCAAAGTTTTGGTAACCTGTGCTATGAGTAAATTTGAATTTAAAATGTTTGACAGTTCAAAGATGCAAAACAACTGAAATTCCACAAGTTACAAAAATTATTAGCATACTTAACAAAAAAGTACATACATTAGGTGCATTTTCGTACTGAATTTGGAATCTAACAGATTAGACGCTTCATAAACCCTGATAAAAGGAAAATATAGCACTGTTAATAAAAAAAATTGAATGCTTGCTTGAACCTGGCTATAGTTCCTTAACTAACAAGACTAGACAGGTTTTCTATCACTAGGTTCGTAATCTCCATACTTGTAACAAGGATAAAAATGCAATACTTTGACATTCTAAAATCTACATAAAATAACCAAAACTAAACATTTTTCAAGGTGGTGACCATCCAAAACAATATATTAATATTACTATTACAACTTTATTATAATGAAGTTTGCAAATTGGATTGCTTCTCTTTATTCCGGCCTTATACCGAGTGAGCAGTTAAGGTGTTCAGTTGCCACTGTCAAATCATTTTGCGATAGCTGTCAGTACAGTGATTGACAACAGTGTTTCCTCAGACAAATGGCTGACCTTAACATTATTTGAATTTCCTGGAAAGCTCCGTTGATTGATCACCCCTATCCTCTCATTAAGAAATCATGGAAATCATCCAAAGTAACAACCCATGTGCACACTTGAGTAGGCTCGTTATAAAGACCATTGACTACCTAATAACACATTTATTTGTGCTCCAAATATTTTACGGCCTGGATCATCCGTACTCAGAAATACTGTTAGATCCCGCTTATTAGAACATAGTTATTTTGAATTTCTGGTTATTTTGAACTCAAAACTATTTCTCTTGAATTTGCCCTTCAGTCACGAATTATCTGCTATTTCAAACTCCTGCTGTTTTGAAGTAATTTTCATTTTCTCTGAGAGTTCGAAATAGCAGGGTTCAACTGTATGAGAATAAGGACAAGTTTCATGGCAAAAATGTTAAAACAATACTGCTTGGAAAAACTGTATTTACAGCAAAAATCAAGCTTCAGTCTGTTTTTAATTAAAATATGGCTCATTTCTAGGATTTTGTGCTGCTTGCTTTTATCAAGTGTACTATACCAAGGAATTTACGTTTTAAATTGTTCACTACTCAGCCACACGACAATTCACACTTAAACTGCATGGTTGCGGTTCCTATTCAATGCCAGTTGGCAAGGAAGAAAGCACAAGCCAGCAATCAAGTTCATAGAAACCATGAGCAAGTGTTTATCTCATAGTTAATGCATAACCCAGTCACTGATCCCTTACTATATTAACTTCAGATTTATCCACAGTTAAGTATATACACTTCAGTAATAATGTACAGTGGGTGAATATTCCGAGGGACTTCTTGGGATCAATAAAAAGCCGTTCCATAGCCAAACAGATTTCAAGTTTGTCAATTTCAGTCAGCCACTGGGTCGCACTTACAATAAAATATTACAATGGTATAATTATCGTTATTTAGTGATGAAAACATTAAAATATTTGTACAATATTATTGCATTTATGAGAATGGCACTTTGTAAAATATCTCTTGTGGTGATAAAGGAAGACTATTTAAAGCTCATTTGTGTCAGTAATAAGCTAATGAGAGATGCATGGACAAAAGAGACAATTTTGCCACATGACAGTGTTTCATGCAAAATTCTCCACGCATAAGAAATGGTGATTATTCTGAGGTTTCTTATTGTGTGCAAAACATAAAATTTTACAATGTTATTGGTATTTCAAACAATATTAAGACAGATATTGTTACGGCAAAAACACCTGAAAAACCAAGGCATCACTATAAAAGGCAAAAAAATATAATTGAATGAACAGTAAAACTCTCAAAGCTAATAAATTTGTGGAAAAAAACCAGTTAGGTTAGCATAGTCTTGGTAAATAAGTTTATATGTGCAGACGCTATTCTTCCTGCTCTTAAGAGACTCAACCTTACAAATTCTCTACTGATGACATGCAGATAGCTTCACAGAGACCCATGTATTGCTCACATGTAGGTAGAGCTCTATGCCATCAAAAAAGAACTTTTTGAGTAAAATCTAAGACATCTTTAGCAGGGTAAGTATCAAAAACATAAAAGGAGATCAGTTTGCATGAAAGTTAAGGTCAGCATGGAATAAATCAATACCACAAAAACCAACCAAAACTATCTCCCATCCCTTCCCCCCAACTAATCTTTCCTTATTATTTCTACATCTACCTAAATAAGCTGTATTCATCAACCATCAAGCAATATTATTGTCTTTGTTTTTCATTTTGAGTAAAAACCCCTCAAGACTGAAGAATACTGTAGTCTGAGGAAGGTTCTTCACCTGGCTTACACGTATGTTTTTAGCTAAATAATTGAAATAAAAATATTAACCAACAGAATGCTGTTTTTCTACCCAGGTTGCTAGGTCCCTTAGGTCTTGCACAGTGACAAAAACCATGTCATCTTAAAATCTATGTAATAAATCCTGTTAAAAACACATCTAGAATTAAAATTGTCAGCTCACAGTTTCAGTTATCATACCCAAAACACTTGATCTTCTGTCTGTGGGCTAAATGGGTTGGAATCTTTCTTAGTCAGTGGTACTCGAGGTGGAGGGCTTGTTTCCCTTGATGCAAAGAAAGAAGAAAACTCATCTGCTCCATTTGTCTGGCGTGAAGAGGTTGATGGCCACGGTGATGATGACCAAGATGTGTTCCCTTGGGATTGCGAGCTTGGCAGAGTTGCCTTCATATCGTGTGTCCATGCATTTGAAAGAGCATCAATCTGGGATGCAGTTTCTGCAAATGGATTTACAGTAGTAAGCAAGCCCTGGTTTGGTTGTGCCATCTTGCTTGGCTGTGTGGGATCCACCGAGGCAGACGCCAGCCACATTTCTGCATCTGACAGACGCTTCTGATGCTGTTGTTGGGTGGAGGCACTCCAGGAGGTAACTCCATTGACTTGGGTAGTTGCCGATTGACCTGGAAGTAGTTGTACTGGTGGTGGTGGTGCACTAGGTACATTCCCTCCTCGACTTAGGCTCAGCAAAGTGTTGGGGGCTTGCATGTGCGATGATGAATTTGCGCTCAGCCCATTGTACACAGTGTTTGGCTGATTTTGAGTCCCATTCTGTGTAGCTGTTGGTTGAGATATGGGTGCTCCAAAGGAGCTGGATGATGGAGCTGTGGTATTGTTCTGCAGCATGAGGGCATCAACTGCCGGGGGCAACTGAGGAACGGCCGGCTCTTCTGTGAGTGTTTCATACCCAGTTGTGTCTGATCCACGCAGCGGCATAAAAGACAGGGGGTTTGAGCGATACCTCAGAGACATGTGACGAGTGAAAGGCGACGGATTGAAAGGTTGTGGACGGGGACGTGCCACTGATGGTGGAGGTTTAAGAACAGGTGTAGCTGCATTATTATGTGTTGGTTGCTGTGTTGTAGTTACCACTGTGCCATTCTTGATGGGAGGAGTAACGACACTAGACGGTACAGCTGCAGCAGCTATTGGAGCTGTGCTTGATGTTGGCATGGGGGCAGGAGTAGGGGTGGTGGCTTTGATTTGTCCTGGAGAAGGCTGCTGTGGAGATGGATTGGATGGTGTCGAGCCATTCACCATTGGTGTGCTACTTGCCGCACTTGCAGTTGCTGCTGTTCCAGCAGCAGCAGCAGCAGCAGCAGCAGTAGCTGCAGCAGACGGGGGGGCTTGTTGAGGTGGTGGCTGCCCTTGTTGCTCTTGTGGTTGCTGTTGTTGTTGTGCCTAAGATCAAAGTAAAATTTTCCATTTAAGGTATCAGTATAACCCATTTGACCATCCGCGCGTGGCCCGCTCTAGCGTTCATGGCTTTAACAAAAACCCNCCACTCTTTGTTGAAAGTGTTTTTCGCCTTCTTTGGCCTTCCTTTAGCCGATGAAAACGGGCAAGATCGCTCTGTCTTCTTCGAAGACATCCGCCACTGGTTATGGCACGCGAATCGCGTGTCAACTCAGCATGATCTTGATGTCATGTGACTTCTTGCCTCGATAATTAACTCATTTGACAGAACTTGTCAACTCTCAATTAAGTTATTAATATGCAAAACAATCTTTCTCGCGCAATAACTAGCAGCAGATAAAAGATTTTTTCGTGGAGTTTTTTTTTATCTTAAAGATTACTTTAAGATTTATCCAACCGCTTAAAAAAGTAAAATTAAGCAAAATTGCAAATTTTCCCCTTACTGATACCTTAATGATTAAAATAAGTGGAATCTCATTTGCTATATCAAGGGAACATCACTCTACACCTCTTCCAATTGGCCTCTTATCCTTTCTGGTCCTATTGCTAAAAGATATCAACTGGTGGTTCTAGTATACATAATAATAAAACAAATAATAACAACACTTTGTCTATAATCCAAAAGTCCAATAAGGGCTCGAAAAAAGTGCTGTTCGGTTGTCTGGGACAAGTAGATTTTCCTTCTGGGCAAGAAACTTTTTATTCTCACTTTCACGACAGACACCAGATCAGGCAAGTCGTCCATGAACCAAATCATTGAAAGAGCAAGCAAAATTTGAGGGCTATGATTGGAATTCAAATTGTTTTCAAGCCCTGCCAAGGATGCTTTACAAAACATAACCAGGAAAATATTAAACAATTGGGCCACTGATTTGTCTTCTATATTTTGGGGGCGTTTTTCAACATTTATTCCACTCATGCTTGTTAAATATGAGATGATTATAGCCAACTCCACGCTACGCACCTTATTGGCTCTCTATCATTTCATATCCAACATGTGCTCATGGAATAATTGTTGAATACATGGATACAATTACACTCAGCTGGTTCTAGTGATCGTGTTTACTCAACTTTGAACCAGGAAGTATAGCACACTGTTAGCGCATAGAAATCAGTAATAAAGTCAAAATTACATTCATCGTCTTTTTTACCTCCTTGTGTTGCTGCTGCAGAGCTTGCGCCTTCTGTTTCCTCTGAAGACAAGCAGTGAAAGCGCAGCCAACGGCATGACTAAGACGCTCCCCCTGGTGAGGTAAACAAAAACAGTTTTGTGATCAATTATTTAAAACCTGAGTACAAAATACCTCTCATTCCATGCTTCAAATAATCCCAGGTGACCCAACATGGGTTTGATATTTTGTCTGGAAAAATGTAGCCCACTTCGATCTCTTTACATATTATAAAGTTCTGTTTTTAGTACAACTTAGGTCATGTTCTACTGGGATAAAACATTTCTGGCTAGTTGAGTTTTTACGTATTCTTTTTGGGAAAAACCATTTTGGTTAATTGGTTGATCAACTTTTCACCCGGCCTCAAACCAGGTTAAAATGGTTGAAAAATTATTGGCAGCTGTTTACCATATTTTAACCGAAAACAGTAAGAAAAGTATTCAATTCAAAATGTCAACCGTATCAGCTCAAACTGGTTGCAGTTTAAATGGTTGATCCCAATAGATCACAACATTAACAGTGTCATTACTGTACTTTTTGGAAACATCATTAATTTTATAGGTACTAACAATAAAATTTGTCATTTCCCTGATCAACAAGGAAATTGCTTCTCCAACAGAGCACACCATAAGAATCAACAAAAGCCATCTAAGTTGCATATTAGTCTCATTATTTCAATTTGTGGGGTATTTCTAGGTATATGATACATATTCAAACTATTCCCAACTCACAGTGTCTCTCAGGGCTATAAAGCAGTGACACATCCATCGTCTAGTGGTGCCTTCACGGCAAATGTACGAGAACACCCTCTCATTACTCGGGTCCGGAGTACAGAATGACACTTTTTCAATCGTCTGATCAATAACAAGTGACTGAAAAAGAAAACATTGGTTTTATACAGTACACTTTGATAAGATGGAAAGGCATATTGAATGAGGTTATACCCTATGTAAATATGGTGATATCACATTCAAATTTTTACCTTGATTTATACATGTAAAGGAAATTGCAAGTCACTAGGCTCTTCGTGTTTACATAAATTGATGCGGCACACTCAAGTTACATTGCAAGGATATGTCTTGTACATGTGAACTTTGGAACTCCCCAGCACTCTCCAGTGATTGCATTAGTCTATGTAAACAGTCTAAATGGACAAACTCATATTTTCTACTTCCAACACTTTCGCTGTACTCTAATTTTAATACATACACTGTACATGTAATCACGGCTTTTGTACAAATTTCACAGCAAAAAAAATGTATACCAAAAAAAGACAGCACAAAATTAATTTTCGCACCTTGCACCAAGAAACTAAGAAAAAACAATTATCGTAATACAAACATTTTTTCACTGTTTTCAATAATTTGTTCGGTTGAACTGAATAAAATGAGACAGTTTGCAATTTAATACATATGCTTTCATTTGTAACCAAATGGCAACTCGGAAATTGTTGCCATTGCCTTCTAACTCCTGATTGGGTATTACAAATCAGTAAGTCCATTCCTTTAGCAAAAGGTCTATCACTGGGAGATATTGCATGACACTGTAGATAATTCCTTAACATAGACGTTATTCTGATATGACTTGACCAATATTGTGCACTCTGAAGACAATGTCAGTGTATTTGTTTTTTTATAACTATCTCCAAATGTCATGCAATAAACCTAACAATAGTGTCATCCTCATTTTTGTGGTCTGAACGTGAGCAAATAGTACTAACATTTACTTATTAAACCTTGGTCTGGACACCTACAGCTCTTTCTCTGCGTCACCAATACATTGAAAAACAACTGGCATTGAAATTACAATAATTATTACACAGGAAGTATTTCAATACTTGGCACCCCAGCAAATCTGATGAGAAAATTGGTAAGAATTTCTGCTTTCCTTTACACCTTGTGCGTTTAGCAGTATGGACGTGATGTCACCAAGTTACAAATTAAAATGCCCCTGGAGTTAAAAATACTGAAAGCTGTTCCCGAGTTTCAGGATCATAGGCTGAAGAACAATTTGCATCTTAAAAATACCTTGCTAAGGGTGATACCTTCTCAGTAGGAAATGCCTTTCTAATTTAGTCACCACTCAAGAGCGTGAGAATATAATATAAAACTCGAACCGCCCCAAGGCCAAAATTAACTTACTTGGTACAACTGAATGTTAAAATTTCTATTTCATGACTAAAGAGGTTGGTTTCCAAACGCAATTTTATTTTCATGGCGCGAAGATAAATCAAAATTGACAACTTTTCTGCAAAGTCTTGTTTTTCAGTTCCCGTATTTTTATTTTCAAAAGTCCTATTTTTAAGTTGTGATGAAAGAAGCGACTCAGTGATAATTTATTGTTACTTAAAAAAATTTAAAAGCTGTAATATGTATGTTGCGTAGAAATTGTTGAGAAAAGCTAAATTTTAAGACCTTGAATCCTCAGTGTAACGAAATATGTTCCGAGTGAGTTGCAAGGCTTTTCCATCCCTTGAAACTAGATGTTTGTTCGAGCACAAGCTTATAATTAAATGCTCTTTTATTTTGAATTCAGCTGTTTCAATATAGCTCCCTTCTGAGCCAGCCTACATCAGGTCAAAACTCGTAAAACGTAATAACTATTTTTATTTTTCGTGTATAGAGTTAAAAAAAGTTTAATCTTCCATAGAGTAAACACCATATGCTAGGGACTATCTTCAAACTTGTAAGTCCTCGTCGAGTATGTTCGGTTTTTCAACCAGATTAAAACAATAAACAACGAAAATCAAAACAGAGCTTCGTAAGAAATCCAAAGAATTCAGGAATTTCTTGTATAAGATCCACTTCGAAGGAAGCTATCTCAGACAAGCGACGAGCTAATATCAAATTGTCGAATTTCGTCAACTGCTGGTGTTTAATTGAGCAAGTCCTCGATTCTTCAATTTATGAGGAGAGATAACCCGATACCATAGGTTTCTCGATGATTCGAAATTTACTTATGCCTCGTTTTATAAACGTCGCATCCATTGCTAATATATAAACTTCCTTGCCGATGAAAAATCTTCCCGAAGAAGGGTGTCGATTTAAAGAAATTTAGCAACAGAAAGGCAGAGCAAATAGAGTACAACTTGCATAAGCAATATCACCGACTAGTGCGTTCTGAAATCTAACATTTAATTATGCCACCGAACTCACGAATTTTCATTACAACAGATCGATCAAAAACATGCTTATTGCTTCAAAAATAATTATTACAGAAAACAACAACTGTCTCTTCCTACCTTCGTTTGTTCGTCCACAACTCGAACACAATCTGCCGTGACAAGAAGCTGCATACGTTTCTTCTTCGCTGTTCCAACCTGAACAAACGAATAAAGATGCTTTGAGAAGAAAGTTAATGAATTACGACTAGCTTATTGTATGATGGAAACCCAAATCGTCGAGTCTTTATTAAATTTGAGGATGGACAATCAGCAAGGGCTTCAGCGGAAGACCTCGCTTCAGCTCCGTGAAATTCTGCAAATATTGGCAGAAACAACGATAGCTTTTACCTCTTTCATCTTCCTGAATGCCTCTGCGCAAACTTGAGTTCCTCTGGACTCGGATACCTCGATGGATCCGACGTACTAAAACAACAATATGCTTTCAAATTAATTGTGGATATGATTTCCATCGTTTGACCGTTCACGCCTGTGTTGTCCTGTACCAAGATCCCGAGAAATCACGAACAAATACGAAAAGAAATAGTCACAAATACAAATACCTTGACTGGAAAACTAACGCCTCCATTTCGAACTTTGTAGCTGTCGTTTTCCCAAATTTGAGGCCTCACACTCTCCGGTATATGCCGTTTTGAACTCCTTAAACTTAAGCTTCGCTTTAGCCTATTCATTCTAGTTAAACTATATTAAAATGCTAACGAAACAAACAAAATTACGTTGAGAACTCAGGCACAGTTTTTAACTGCATTTGTTAGACGTACGAAATCTGCTCACGGCTGACGACCGGTCGATACACGCATGCTCAGTGGTTGCGTAATTGAATTCAAATTATCCGAGTGAACGCTCATAACATGTCGCCGCGCGAACCTACAAGATTTTGACATTTCAAGATTAGCAAAACGCCCTGTCCAGACTTACATTTACAGGATAATTGCTCCCTTATATTACAGCTCACTAGCTTACTCTAAAATGTAACCTTGCACAAAGATCAGAGTGTTTTAGGAGACCGTGTTTTCTAGTCTTTTCTACGGGTTAAAATTAGCTGTTGATTCGAACTTCCGGTTTGAGTTCGAAACAAGAACCGAGAACCTTAACCGTGGGTAAGTCTTACAATTATTATTATTTTTTTATTTCAAAAAGGCCATGACGTAGCACTTTTATATTAAAAATACTTCGTCTGCTTGACAAAGAGCTTTTTCCGTTTGTCAGATATATTGTTCTAATAATTAAAACTGTTTGATAAACGTAATTAAAATTTTGTTTGCTCGTCTGCGCCGAAAACTGTCTTGACTACTAATGCTATCGATGTAATATTGTCTTATGAAACTTTTTTTTATCTCTTTTGCTTAATTAACCAAAAGTGGGGAACTACTCGCGATCTGTCGTTTCAGCTCATGGACAACAGAATGAAACTGTTATCAATTAATGCCAATTGGGATTATATCACTTTTTTTTTCAAATACACAAAGTTATGATGTTATTTAGTGGAATGATGAATTTTATTTCATCGTTGGCAGTATAGGCCCTTTGCAGCTGGGGTCACGTGACCAAATTTTCCCTAAAAAATTTTTTGTATTATGGGCTATAACTTAAAGAATGCCAGAGATGGAAAGAGCGCATCGAAAATACCAAAGAGGCCAAGTTTGAGGCCTCAGGAAAAAACGAGTAAGTTTATACCATAGTTTGAATTTTCAGAAAATTTAGAGGATTCGTATGGAAAATGTTGCTGGAGAGNGACATGCTTTTTCCATTTCTGGCATTCGTTAAGTTATAGCCCATAATTTTATGAAAAGTAGGTCACGTGATGGCTTACCTACAAAGGGCCTATTACAGCCTACTTGTCCCTAGGGACAAAACTAACAAAATGCTATCACATGCACCGCACCAGTTTTTAATGCACTTCCGGTTTCAGTGGGGTTTTCCGGTCCTTCCTTCAATTTTTTTTTTTTTTTGCTTGTTTACAAAACTGCTTTGTGGGCAGTGTAAATCGGAGCTACCTAAAATTCTTCACGTCTATAGCTTCATAGTTTCTGTTGACTTAATAAATTTAGATCGAGTTTGAATCTTCAAGAAGTTTTCGTCAAGACAGCGAGTCTTTTTGTTTGTAGATTGTATTAAACCAGGATTAGACGATAAAGATGCTGAACATCACATGTAATGTAAAGACGCAGGAAATCAAACAAACTGCTATGTTTGCATGTATCAGATAACAGGTAACAGTTTATGTGTCTTTTTGTGTGGGCCGAGACATTTGGTCTAAGCGGTCGGTAATCGCCGGAAACTTTCGGAGTTTGGCGATTTTTCCGATGTCCCAGACGCCTGCAGTTTGTCAGCAGTATATCGCGAAACAACAAAAATTTCTCGGAAATCGGTCGCGTATTTGAGGTACAGTATACAAATTTTATTGCTTTTCTTCGTTCAAGTTTTTGTATAATGTTTATCTAGCCTGGTTCCTTTTTAAACTCAGATATCATTTTTACTCCAGAATGTTGCAAAAGTGTTACATTTCCATAGAAAGCCTACTTATTTGGAAGAATAGATCTGCTGCAATTGGCGATAAGTCTTATATTTCCGCAATGAGCTGAAATTCCTGTCGGCCATGCGATTCATAAAGGGATAAGCTGAAACTTGGAAGCAAAAATGGCGAGTTTTGATTCAGCTGACTTAAATAGTAAGTATTGATACACTACTTATAAACCTTCAATTAATTCTAAATGTAGCTCATGTTCCTTGGTAAAAAGTTATGTAAATACCACGGTTATATTAAACACTGTGAGTCATAAGTCTTAAATAGGTTTCAAGTAAGCTTATATTTACATCTTGTTTGGCTAGTGATGTGTAAGATCCGATACTAATGTCTTTATTGCATTGCAACCTTTCAAGTAGAATTTACCATAACATAAGCTCGATTCAGTTGAGAAGAGGAATATTTATCAAAGTGAAGTATGATCATCGCAGTAAATTTTCCAATTTAAGCAACTGGAAAGAAGAAGCCTGAAAAAAAATCAGGGCTTCAACGGGATTCGAACC